TGAAAAAAATTCTAAGCAATGTCTGTCCAAGTGCACATCACACGCTGAAATGATTTTTTTTTTTCGTGTGGAATTAATGACTGAATTCAGTTGTTTCTTCATTTTAGCCAGATTGATCATATTGCTATTACGTGAATATGTGTGGACTAAATAAAGACACGTAGAGATTGGTAACTGAAGGCCCATTAAGTCAAGAATTTGTCCCTTGATACCAGACTAGCATTCTTAAAACAAACCCCAAAATATGTAATAATGAAATAGTAAAAGAAAATAAAGATGGCTGCACATTTAGTTCTTAAAAGGATATTGATTTGAAGAAATAACTTTTTATAAATATCCATAGAAAAGCAAAAGAAGACGCAGAAGGCACGCAGAAAAGAAAGTCCGATTCCTACAGATCACTGATTGACCTAAAGAAAAGTTTAATGAAAAAGTGGTTCCTAATTGAGCAGTGATGAAAGTTTACAATTTAGGAAGCCCAAAAACAATAGTCAATTACTATATAATTGTGGTCATATTGCAGATTCCATGCAATTAATTTACTTAATGGATAATGCAAATGAAATCAGGACTCGTCCAAATGCGCCTTAATTCCGGTAGACGTTTCTAGATATCCAAAAAATTATGATTTTAAGGAAGTTTAAGGAATTTTATTTCCGAAAAATTTTTCAATGAAAAAAATGCCCTCTTTGGCTCGCAGACACACTTATATGTGCATTCGCTCACACACATTTGTGGATAATATACTAATATATCTCTGTCTACCTATTTACCTATTTGTCTCTTTCTCTCTTCATTATATATCAATAGCTATATCTACACACACATATATACACATATGTATACATGTGTATCTTTGTATGGGCACATGTATACATGGTGTGTGAGTATATATATGCATATATATGCATATATATATATATATATATATATATGTATATATATATATATATATACATATATATACACACATATATGTATGTATGGATGTACTTATGCATATATGCATTCACATACACACACACACATAGATTTATAAGCATATATGAGTATATATCTATGTATATATGTATGCATATCTATCTACATATACATATACATGCATATATATATAATATATATATATATATATATATATATTATATATATATATATATATGCATATATATGTATATATATGAATGTATATACATACATTTAAAATACTTTATACTGTATGTATACATTATATATATAGCATATATATGTACATATACAATTATACATACATGTGTGTGCATGTGTGTGTGTGTTTATAAACTAATGGAGTCCAGGTACTGATACTGATTTAGAATATCATGAATATTGTATTTTAATATTATAGCCATGAATATTTAATCGTGAAGCTACTAAAAGTACTAATCTAGCAGCAAAATTGTAATAAAATTTGGGAGGAGGACATGCACTAGCTGCATGATCATACCCGACATGATAATATGCACTGAAATCGTTAAACACGTCACCGAATCTTATTTCTAAATTAAGATTTGCAAAAAAGAAATAAAAAAAGCTGGGTCTTCAAACCGATTACCTTTTCTGTAAAATGACGTGGTCATAATGCATTGCAAAAAAAAAAAAAAAGGAAAACATAGGTTATTCTCAGTTTATGTGAAATATCTTAATTCGGATAAAATTGAAGGGATGTGAGAGAAAATTTTCCTCGTCTGTATAGTCTGTTAGTTTAATATAGTTCTTAAGAAAGTTTTTAAAAACAATATTGCATATTTATATAAGCAATATTTTCTTTGATATATAAGTTAACTCTTTAAAAAAGTGAAATAAGCGCGTGCCATCCTTCACTCGTCTCCCTCTCTCCCACCTCCCCCAGTTTCCAATATTCTTAACTGACTGCTTTCCTTGCCCTGCATAAAAGGCTCACTCTGTGACACGAATGCTGTCAATCTCCTTTCCCCTGACAAGGCAATGGACATGTATACCTTCCTCCTGACGCTGTCTCTGCTCAGCTCCGCCTTCGAGGCGGCCTCTACCCTCCATCTGCCACTTCGTGTCACCTCGAACCGAGCAAATCACTCTTACCAGAACCACCGTGGAACCCCTTCTTGAACAGGCAACCACGCTGGACCTGCAGCATGAACACCAAGACGTAAAGGTCACCAGCTTCGTGGTGGAAAGGCCCACTTACACGCAGACCTTGCAGCTCACGCTCACGCCCGACCCTTCCATACTCACTCAAGTCAGCTTGCTCACCTCAACGGCCTTCCACACCAAGCTGGCCGTCGCCCGAACCACCACCGTGCTCACCCGAGACCGTGCAGCTCCTGGCCAGCGAAGTTGCCGTGGAGGACAGGACCCTCACGCAGACGGCGATACAGCTGGACACCAAGACGCTGACGCTGACGCGGCTCAGCCTGGAGACGGCCTTCTCCACTCTCTCCGTCACGGACACTCAGCTGGCACTGGTCACCGAGACCGAGCTGGCGCCTCACTTTGTCACGCAGAC